TGTTTCATTTTCTAATATAAACTTCATTTTGAATTTCTTATTTTCAAAAATTAGTATGATTCACTTAATAATCTGATTTACATTTTAAAGAGACCACTCTGCAGACACTGTAGAAAAGTGATAACAACCATGAAACAATGAAGCCAACTATTTGCACATGTTAAGTCCCTTAAGTAGTTAGTAAGTGGTTTCTGTGTTTGGCCACTGCATTCCTCTGTGCTGATCAAGCACCCAGCTCTTCAAATATTGTTTGGAAAAGAGTCATTATTTCATAGAGTTTTATTTGTGAAATTGTGTTATTTAGATGAATTATCTTTAACTTTAATCATATCCATTAAATATACTCTGAACATCTTTAAAAGTTACTTTCAAATTGTTTTATACAATTGAGTAATAAAATAAATAATTGGATTATGTAGAAGTTAATACAGGAAACTGTAGTTGTACTAAACTTTCCAAAACAATTTGTTTTAAAAAGACCAAACTTTTTCTGTTTTAATAAAATTTCATGTTCTGATCCAATGAATCACTTTTTAAAATACACACACCGAGTAAGGAAAGTAATGAAATAATAACTGACAATAAAAATAAATGTTAAAATATTCTGACTGAGGCTTAACTGTCAGAATCAGTATTAACATTGCCACAGAATCTTGAAATTCTCTTGCGGCACTGTGGGTTAATGCACTGGAATTCAAAGTCAGTTTGAACCACAAGGCAGACTATTCAGGCTCACCAGCCGCTCCTCAGAACCCCTATACAGTGTTGCTTTGGTCAGAACAGACTCTACAGTACTTAACAACAACAATTTATGTACTTTTGATATACTTAATCAGTTTAAATAGCAAGATGGCAATATTATAAAAATGCATGATAACATAGAATTACCTAAAGAAAAAAATAAATAAATAAACCTTGAATCATATATTTGTATAGGTTCTCAGAGTTTGTTGTAGCAATCTTTTTTTTTTTTCCCCCCTCTGGAACCTTTTACTTTCTTTATCTCTCGCATGATGTTGAAGAGATGAAAGCAAATATGCTGAGGTATCCATGAGAAAGACAGCTTTTAGTTATCTCTTACTAGGTCTAGCCAAGAAATAAGAAAATATGACAAAAAGTTTTAAAATAATCTTTTATTTCAGTATTTCACGATCAACCCTACAGATTCCAAATGTTCAAAAGCTGCAGTTTGAATATGGATCTAAATGCTAAATTTGCACTTATTGTATAAAAGTATTTCTGAATTATCCTCATTTTCAAAAAGCTTTTTTTTAGTAAATATGTTATATTATATTTAACAAAAATATTTTTCATCCAAAGGGTCTAACAGAAAAGATAAGAAGCTGTATCAAGTGTTTGTATTTGAAATTTTAATCTTAATATTATAGTCTAGTACAACTCATCTCAAATATTAGCTAGAATATTTTAATACTATTTTATTAGGAAACAGGACATACTTAAAAGTCATCACCCTATGTGTATTTAGGAAATTAAGTGAAAACATTTTTCTATGTATCACTCTACTCACTTACCTAGGATTTTCTACAACCAGTAACATTGAAAACATGAAAATATTTATTTCAAAAATTCATTTTGTTTTTCTGTCTGCCCTCAAACTTAGTCCACTATACTAATTAAAAACATTTACTGGATTTCCTGTCATACTCACATTCACCTCATGCAATGACATTCCTAACATGAGTATGTTAAAACTGGGGTTGATTATTTTTAAAGCATTTAGTTCATTTAAAAAATAGAATGGCAAACTCAGTTCTTATACATGGTCTCTGAAAGACAAAATAAAGGCTGAAAACCATAGATAAGTATGGGAAATAAGAGTTAATTGGGGTCATGTTGAAAATAAGTGGTTCCGTTTTGGAAAAATGGGTGTTTATCCCTGTGAATCCTGCTGGATAAGCCACTATAACTATGATTATACACTGGCTTCACAGAAAGTTTTTTTTTTTTTTTTTTTTAAGCCATTATGACTTTCCACAGAGCTACAAGTTCTGAGACTGAATTATACAAAAAAGGGAATTATGTAATAAGATACAAAGGCATGCCAGAATCTTACTGTAGAATAATAATAATAATAATAAAAACATTCTTTTTGATTTTGTCACCTTTGAAGTAAATTAAATCCAGATAGTTTAATTTTCCTTACATGATTTCAATTTTAGAATCTAGCTAACCTATGTTCTTCTTTTAATAAAGAACATAAAATTTTTCCATTAAGGTAATAAATTACTGTAATTAAATTTAGTCTCGCCTACTTGCTTATTGTTAATGTGTTATAAATGTGCTGATATGTTCTTTCATCTTACATGTACATAATTTTATCTGTCATGGATTAAAAAAAAAAAAAAAAAGATGGTTACTCTGGAATCTAATTCCAGTATATTGTTTTAGATAACTCACAATTCTCTAATACAATGCATGGCCCATGGTACAATTGCCTTACATTTCCTAAACATAGAATCTTTTCAGAATCCATTTATCACACTACATTGTAATTCTAGTATCTTCTCTTTGGCTATAGTCCTTAGCTCTCTTTATTCCTAGCAGTCCTTTTGTCTTATTTCTGGAAATTGTTTTTCTGCCAAGACAAATTATCCTCCCCTGTCCATACTGAATTCACGTCAATTTAAATCTTCTCACTTGTCTAACTCGTTAAGATATTTATACTTTGAATCCTTTTCTACAATAAGAAAGTCTGTCTACCCAAGTAGATATCATCAATATACTTTGCTTTCATTCAATTGACTGTCAGAAGTGTCAACCTTATGCCTTGAAGTTTCTATTTGAATAATCTGCCCCCAAATAATTTAGAACTATTGGTAACAGCTATGATAAATTTATTGCACAAAAGGGAAAAAATGACAGAAGTAATTTAATTATTTTCTTAATTTCTAAAATACTGTATATCCTATAAATGAGCCTGGTAGTGCAGTGGACTATGAGACAAGGTGCAAAGCACAAATCAGTAGTTTGAATTCACCAGTTGCTCCATGGGAGAAAGGAGAGGCTTTCTGCTTCTGTACAGACTTGCAGTTTAGGAAGTCTTATTTATACAGGGTTACTGTATAGTATATAGGAATATGTTAACATAAGTTGGATCTGTTTTTTTGTCATTCTCATCATTCTAAAGAAAACAAAATCAGTTAAATAATGAGGTTTGGGGTAGTTTTTATTTATTTATTTATTTTTACTGATTGTTTCTTTCTGATTCCAATTAATTTGGAAGGAAATTGTCAATCTTTCCAAGTTTTTCAATGAAAATTAATATTATAAACTTCTATAGTAAATAGTATTTATGCATCCGATGCCTGTGAATTCTATAATTCTGGATTCTATGAGCCTATATTTGTAATGTCAATTTGGCCTCTGGAATCTAATTAGCTTATTTAATTTATTTATGATTCTGGATATTTTAGTGCAAAAATTCCACATTGATGAATTCATTTACACTGCATGTTACTTTAAAAAAAGTGTCTGGCTATACTACATATCTCAGTTATGATTATAATTAATTTCCTCTGGCTTTTCTCTTCAATATCATAAAGCACACCTGAAAATTTACCTAGTATAATCTTCAAATCAGAAGATGGATTAATGTATATCTCTTCTTGGATGTTCTTTGATCTGCCATATTAAAAACAATAGAAATAAGAAAAAGATAAAATGTAGAGGATTTGTCAATTATGGTAATGTAGATTTGCATAAGATCAGACTTTAAATATTTACATTAAAACCTATGAAACATTTAGAAAATCACAATAGGAACACCAAATTTATTTACAAAGTATCATTTATTAAACACTTTTTTGTTGTTTTTTTTTTTTACAAAATACAAAGATTGTTGTTCTGTAAGAATATAGCACATATGAAAAAATAATGTGTATTTACTGTATTTCATTTTAAGACAATAAGAATTTTATTGTCTACCAACATGAGGAATCAATTTTGCTCTGCAACTTGTCTAACACTATTACTGTTTGGGGGGTGAGAATCCCGTTTCTTGTTAATTAAATCATATTTATAATAGCTAACATTTTATAGTAATAAAATCAGATGTCTGTCATACAAAGCTCTTTCTGAAACGTAACTGACTTGTCTATGATCCTAATTTTTTTTAAGCTATAAGAAGGAAGAACTGAGGAGCTAGGTAAGTTTTAAAATATGTATTAGCAGCAGTTGATAGTAAATGCAACATAAGATTTGTTTTGTCTGTGGTACAAGAATATGTCCTATCAGACTCTACAGTATTCTTCTCTCTACTTGAAAACAAGAAACTATGTATTGATTGTCTTTGGGATGACAAAGGTATAAAAAGACAAGAAGTTGGTTGTCATTGTGAGTGTCTATTTTCATCAGCTAATATGAATGCATTGCTAAAATTAGTGAGAACAAAAAATGAGTTAAGTATAATATATACAAAGTTAAAATACATTTTATATCCACTTAAGAATGTTTTCAGGCATTGTGGCTGCTCAGGGTAAAATGTTTCATGGTTTTTTTTTTGTTTTGTTTTGTTTTTTGTTTTTTTATAGCAATTTCGTTTTCAGTGCAAGCAAAAGCAAATACCTGCCCAATGTCATACAAATGACCACATACATCAGGAATGTACAAAGTCAGTTCATCTTCTGTATCATCACTTTTGAGGCAACTTGAATAAAAATGTCTCATGGTTTGCTCTTGGTAGCAATTTAATTTTCAGTGCAAGCAAAAGCAAACACACCTGCCCACTGTCATACACATGACCAAACACATCTGGGATACTAGAAGACTGTTTAGCTTCTCCTTCTTCATTGTGGAGGCAACTTTGAGAAGTGGCACTTAGTGTAAACTCTATAAATCATGAAAACCAGACTTGAGATGCCTGAATTTAAAAATAATAGAAACCACTATCATAGTCATTTCTCTGTGTAAACGATGTTAGGGTAAGGCTTGCCATCACAATGTTGCTTTCCTGAGAATGGAACTGGTCCTCTCGGTGTGTATCATAAATGTGCATGCTCTGAGCTGTGGTCACTATCATGACTATCTTCATTTGCTAGAGAGTCTCCTGTGTGCTGGAGGGTGGCTGCTCCGATTCCTGAAAGCTCTGAAGGGAGAAGTGTTCCTTTTTTCACATTCACCAGTTCCTTTTCTCGAGCTGCAGCTCCTTGCTGTCCTCCTTTTACCCTCTTCCACTTCATTCGTCTATTCTGGAACCAGACTTTTACCTTGTACAAAGAAAGAAAACAGACAAAGAAGGAAATTAAATAGACTTATTTTTTCCCTTTACTGTCATCAAAGAAAATAATTCCTCAAAGGACACCATGACACTAGAAAAGAGAAAATATGAATTTAGATAAAAATTGTATTTAATTAAATTTCATAATCATAACAATAATTTGAAACTTTTGGAAAACAATGCAATTGAAAAATATTTTGTGTGTCACGGCATACAATATAAAACACAAAACAAAACCAGAAAAACTAGAAATAGATGGGAGAGAACTTTATTTTCTAAGGTTGTTCAAGACTTTTGGTTCTATAAAGACATCATAAATTTGAACTTATGTTTTAATATTTTATTGGTCAACTTTTATCCCTGCTAAATAACCATTAAACAAAAAATTGCCCAGGGAAAATTACGTTAATTCCATTGCTACTTTAAAGTACGGCCAAGGAGATACTGATGAAGATGTATGTGGAAGATTATTCAGGATGGGTTCAGTTCATTATTTCATTTGCAAATCTTTATTTCACCACTTCTTCTCATAATGAGCACTTCTATTCTGAGCTATCTAGTTTGTTTTTTAGTACTTTAATCACTCTTCAAAAACATATGATTGCAGTCATTATCTAAAGGAATGGTAAAGGATAAAATTCCTCACAATAATTTTCTTCAAATCTATAGCTGAATTTTTACATTATGTAATTTGTATCAACTTTATAGAGATAAGATTCCCTTTCAGAAGATGAACTGATATTGCCTAACACAGTGAGTATTCAAATAAGTTCAAATAAGCATGCACTAAATGACTACCCAAGATCAGAACTATTATAATATTTACATCAATGTATCTTCTTGATAGTACAGGTTGAATTAATTTTCAGTGCAAGCAAAAGCAAATATCTGCCCACTGTCTTACACATGACTGTATACATCCAGAATGTTCAGCTTCTGCAACTTCACATTGGTGGCATCTTGAATAAAAAAGTTTCATGGCTTTCTTCCCTATTTTATAGCTTGCTTTCACATTTCATTTCTTTCACTGTATGTTTTTCTTTAGCTAAGTCAACCTTTTATAATTTATTTCTCTATACACACCACATGACATTAAAAAAAGGATGGATTTTGTGTTTGACAGTCTCATGCCTTTCTTAAAAACAAACAAATATAAAAGTTTTATAATAATATGTAATACTAAGAAATAAATTACCTTTGCTTGTATTTTAGGATTGCAAAATTGAAAAGTATTGAGTATAGATTTCTTGATCTAGTTATGCTTAGACAAAGGCTTATATTCATTCTTTTTATTATTGCACACTATTCCACAGTGTGAATATTGTTGTTGTTAAGTGATATAGAGTTGGTTCCGGCTCATAGTGATGCTGTATAGGGTTTTTGAGGAGTGGTTGGTGAGTTTGAACTGACCATCTTACGGTTCATACTGACCTTGAGGTCCAGTGCTTATCCTGCAGTACCAGTTTATCTAGTCTTCTGACTATGAATACTTTAGTTACCTAACTCTTTCTTTTTCTTTTAAAAAAAGCATATTAAATTACATTTGCATTTTCAAGAACATCTGATCAAACTTCTCTTGCTATTCTACCCAGGAGTTACAACAATGGGTCTTGTTAAATGCTCTTGAGGTGGTTTCAACGTATAGTGACCCTGTATAGGGTTTCTGAGGAGCACTGGAAGGTTTGAACTACTAACCTTGCAGTTAGGGGCCCACTGCTTATCATACAGTGCCACAGCAGGATTCCAGATGGGTCTTAGTATATATGAACATTCAATATAACAAGAAAATACAGGAAAAAAGAGTTTTTCAAGGTTCTGTCTATTTAACTCCTTAATACACACTGCGATGTGTAGCTGTTCACATTTTGCCAACATTTGGGAGTATCAGTGTTGTTGTTTTTTTTTACTAATACACTGACAATTATCACATTGTGTACTTAGCTTGCGTTTCCTGATTACTAATGAAGTAAACAATTGCATCACACGGAGCTGTCAGAAATTCAAGCTGGTTTTCTGAAATGGACATGAAATGAGGGATATCATTGCTGATGTCAGATGATTCTTGGCTAAAAGTAGATATAACACCAAAAAGATTTTAACTTGTGCTTTATTGACAATGCAAAGGCATTTGGCTGTGTGGATCATAACAAACTAGGGATAATACAGTGAAGAATGAGTATTCTAAAACACTTTATTGTGTTCACTAGGACTCTGTACATTGACCAAAAGGCAATCGTTAGAACAGAGTAATTGGAGACTGGATGGTTTAAAATCAGGAGCAGTATGTATCATGGATAAATTCTTTCACCATATTTATTCAATCCATATACTGAAAAAATATTATGAAAGGCTGAATTATATGAAGAAGAACATGGAATCAAAACTGGAAGAAGAATCATTAACAACGTGTGAAATGCAGATGACACAATATTGCTTTCAGGAAGTGAAGAGGACTTTAAATACTTACTGATGAAGATGAAAGAGTACAGCCTTCAGTATGGATTACACCTCAATGTAAAGAAACTGAAAACCCTCCCTACCAATCAATAATGGTTGTTGTTGTTAAGTGTCATCATGTCACTTCTGACTGCTGTAACCCTGTATAGGGTTTCCAAGGAGCAGGGGATGTGTTTGAACCATCAACCTTTCAGTTAGTTCCAGTGCTCAAGCTACAGCTCCACATAACATCATGAAATGGAGAAAAGATTGAAGTTATCCATGACTTCAGTTTGCTTAGTTCCACAAGCAATGGTCCTGGAAGCATCAGTCAAGAACTTAAATGACATACTGAGTTGTTAGGCGCACTTGCTGCGAAAGCCCTCTTTACTGTGAAAGAGAAAAGATGTCACTTTGAAGGTTAAGGTGTGCCTGACCCAATCAATGGTATTTTCAGTTGTTTCATATGGATGTGATAATTACATAATGAATAAGGAAGACCTTAGAAGAACCTATGCATTTAAATTACAGTGCTGACAAAGAATATTAAAAGTACTATGGACTGGACGGACAACTTAGAAATTGGCTAACTAAAATGGGGGAGCTCTGGTAGCGTAGTGGTTACGAGTCAGGCTGCTAATCTCATGGTCAGCAGTTTGAAACTACCAGCTGTTCTGCAGGAGAAAGATGAAGCTTTCTGCTCCCATAAAGATTTACAGCCTCGGAAACCCTGTACAGGGTCGCTGAGTCAGAACCGACTCCACGGCTCATAACAACAGCAACATAAGGGCATGAAGAGGCTGACTTACAAGGTTTCAAGAGGAGTTTAGTTTCAGATTGTACAGGGGAAGGTAGAATCCCCACTGAATAGTTTTCATCTTGTTAGATAGGTCTGGTGAAAGGAGATGGGAATAGGATTCTTTGGATTCAATAGTGAGTAATTGTTACTGTGACTAATTGTGATTGTCACAACTGTAAAGGTAGAAGTTGTGTAACAAAAAGGGGGATAGTTATTAATCTTACATTCCAGGAACAGAGAACCCTAAGATCATTAAGAAAGAAGAGCATGAGCAGAATGTGGGCCTCTAACCAGAGAAGCAACGATACCAAAGATGGAAGCAGAGGTGATGGCATGGAGATATAGATCATCTGAGGACTCTAGACTCATGGAAAGAGAAAGGCTGTGTGCTGGTGGTCAAAAGGCTGGCTTGCAGGGCATGCCCTTTGGTTCTTTAAACAATTACATATCCCTGTGTATTTTGGGTATATCGGGGAGAGAAACAGAAGGAATAGAAGCAAATATTGTTAACCGATGATGCATGGAGGGGCTTATAATCATTGCAATGAAACAAAATACAACAGATTGAGTGCAAAACCGATGTTTTCCCATGTAATCTGTCATTCAATTCACAATTAGAGCTTTTTAAAAAGTACTATGAACTCCCAGAAGAACAAACAAACCTGTTGTAGAAGAAGTATAGTCATTATTCTCCTTAGAAGGAAGGATATGGAGACTTTGTCTCTCCTACTTTGGTCATGTTGTCAAGAAGAACAATACCCTGTAAATGTGCATCAAGTCCCTGGAAAAATGGAAGGTCAGCGAAAAAAGAGAAAGACCCTCAGCAAGATGAATTGACACGGTGATAGGAACAATGTGCTCAAACATAACAATTGTGAGGATGGCAGAGGGACAGACATTGTTTCATTCTGCTGTACATAGTGTCACTATGAGTTGGAACAGACTTGACAACACCTAACAACAAGAGTGAACTAAAGCAGCAGTTCAAACATCTATGAATTATTTGTGCCATGTTTGCATTGAAATT